CCGTGTAAGATATATATGTCGCCATGAAAGCCCTCAAATCTAGCTATTTATCATTGTCTAAAGAAACGTGAAAAAGAACAACAATCAACACAAAATATAGACATATCCACCCTCAATCAGATGAAGATGTCGTGGAAGTTGCCCGCCTAAACGACAAGAGAAAGGCGCCCATTAATTGCCCAAGAATATTCAAGAGGGGGGGAGAGAAGGACTCGCCACAAGCGAGAGAAAAGCCACAGCCACAAACAGCAATATGTTTGTTTCTATTTTTTTGGTAGAAGCAATATGGTTGTTTTTAATACGGTGGCAACTCTTGAACCCTTTACTTTTGAAACGGCCACTAATGCAATCTACGTATGGTGTGGTGGAGTGCTATTGATCTAAGAGGTTATTTTGGCATTAAAATTACTATCTATGAATACGTTCACAACCCACGCTTACAAGATATATAAGCTGGGAAGTAGCAGAACATACAAATCTCCTACTGAATGATTTATTAGCAAGTTCTAATCAGCTATGTTATAGCAAAAGTACATGAAGAAATGTGGCAAGAAACGTGCTCTAAGCAGCAACTCCTAAAGTGTTAGTCGCAAAACAAATTTGAAATTTAGCAGTATAAAAATCTGGGTATCAGAGAAATTGAATGCTCCCTCATCTGTATTCCTAATCTGGGGACCTCCCGCCTATAATAAGCAAATAATTTTGTCTATTAGCATTAACATGATTAAAACTCATAACAGACAGTTGTCTGATTGTTTGCGATATACTGTCAGTTAGATTTGTCTCAATCCAACGATCACATACGTTCCAATTCGCTTGCACTTTCCCTCTATAAAGCCCTTGGTCGTGAAATGTGTTTTGATGTTTATAAGATAATTTATTTCTATTCCTATTCAGTGGGGAACTTGAGTATCAGCTTATTACGCAAACTTCCCAGGTATCTTTAAAACAGACCATACAAATTTTAGTTACTCGGGATATTTCACGAGCCTAATATCTGTTTGAGAAAAACCCAATCTAAAAATAAAACCACAACAAACAAGAGGACACCCAAAACAGCTGCAAACTCAATGAAGAAGCGTGCTTCAGAGGGAAAGCAAAGAAAAGAAGATAGTACAATTCACACACACAGTGTGTGTGTGTGTGTGTGTGGGGGGTGTCAGAAAATGTCTCACTCTATATGTTGTTTTGGATTCTTTTTCGTGCTCTTCTTTTGGCTTATATGAACATATATAGACACACGCAAAAAGAAACGCTCTGTGAAATAAAATATAATGCGATATTATCGCTGTTGTTGGCAAATAATTCCAACGTAGGGCAATAAGATAGAAATACATGCAACGCAACGGAGGGAGACAGAGACATGTAGAAAGCTGATTCAACTCCCACGTCAACCTTCTTATCCCTTCATCTACCGTTCTCTCACTCCCCACCTGTCTCTCTTCACCCTTACCCAAAATCTTTACATACCTTTTGTCCTTTATCCTCATTATATTCCACAGTTCCTCGCTCCCTCTGTCTTTCCCTTATTTTTTAGTGCAGGACGCTACTATATTTCAAGTAACATCTCAAGAATTGAGATCAGACTTTCGATATACGCTCTTAAATGAACAAGTCCAGCAGTAGTGTATAGTGTGATTGGCAGATTAAGATTTCTCATATTTGGCACTTATTATCGCTGATCAAAGAGGGTTCAAATTGAGTGGAGTTTCTATCAAGAGTATGCGATATTATTTAAACTATTCCGGGCATCAAAAACTAAGGTTCACTGAATTTTACATTGCTAATTTTTTTACAAGAACTAAGATTATTTTGTGTCCAGTTCCAAAACATTTGATCCACTGCGTGCGCGCGCGTATTCAGCGTTCCATTCATAAGACCTGATCCATTTGTACCATGAGTTTGCCCTGTGCTATTTGCTTCCAAGTGCAGAGAACCTGACAATTTTAGATTTTTTTCCTTTTGCAGGACATATCTACGAGTAACAGATGCTAATCTTTCCTAAGATTTTTGTTGAGAAACTGATGTTCACGAAAAAGGCCACCCACGAAAGGTTTTAGCCTTTAGGAGGCTAATGAACTGTTGTGGTGTGGAGCTGCCCAGAAAATTTCTAGTAGCTTAATCTTTTGGAACTGGACATTTTCTTTTAAACCGATATAATTCAATACTTTTTGAGAAAATGCAGAAAGAGTTTTGTTCAGTCAAGAAACTAACAATTTCAACCATTTAAATAACTAGGAGGCTGCAAGTGACCAAAATAAGAGAGTGCCCTAAAGAAGAAGGTCATGGCACTATCTCTAACAGAAAATGACCAAAGGAGACCTTGTCATCAGACCCCATCAGGGTTCAATTATGAGAAAAATCCAAGTGATATATATTGGGAAAGGGGAGGGTCAGGGAGGAGGGATATTTTAGTAAACGCATACCCACGGCGCTAAAATACCCACAGTGGGCCAACTAGGTGGTCCACATCTTCCACTGTCTCAATCCACATGGGCCTAACTTCTCTTGTTTTAACGTTATTTAATTGATTCCCTGCTTTGAGATGTAGGGCCTTCTGGGCCCATTATTCACGTTCCTTCACATATTTTTCCGGGAGGCTATTTTCGCTTCCTTTTTTGTGTGTGCATAATCGCAGGTTTTTGCCGCCACCGTGTCCGTGTTACAAACAATGATGAATAACCGCCAAAATTTGTCTTTCCTTTTAGTTGACTCAAAAGGAGGACCTCACAATGGGATTCAGTTTAATTGAAGGGGTCAATTTTTTACAATGTAATAAATTAATATTTGAATTTTTACTCAGATAAGTCTCCACATTCAGTTTTTGATAGTGCCTTAAATAGAATTATCTTCAATAAAAAAATATCTATACTTAAAAAAGAGAGAGAATCTCATGTCTACGAAAATCTATTCTTCTAATTGATCTTATTACCTCGATTCCTAAATATAAAATCTAGTTTTTAGTGTAATTTGTCCTGTAAACTAGATTTTATATTTAAAATTGGAGGTTGCATTATTTTTCGGCCATCTGTGATTGATCTAAATATCTAATCTTTTTTTATCACGTATGTATCATTGATCTGATCTTCATACCATGCAGACGAGATAATTCCTTGCTGGAAGATTTCATATCCTAATATCATTCCTCTGCCTTGTGTTATAATATTTTTACGATAAATTAGATAACTATATTTTTTTTGTTGTTTTTAGCTACACGATTGGTTTTTGAAAATACACACATATTTATAATTTGACTCTGATTAGAGAAGATGACAGAGAGAAAATACAAGTTTTTACTCAAATACTGAAAGTTTTCTAGGACTGGTTCGGTTTGAATTGCAAAGTGAAATATAATGAAAAACTATGAAATAAAAAGATAATTCTGTAATTTTGAATTTCTTTGTCCCTTGATAAAATAATTATTCAGTGGAGAAAAGGATAAAAAAAGGAGTCTGCTTGAGTAATAAAAAATAAAAAACATTAACAATAACACTGCCCTGTGTGTGTGTGAGATGTTTTTTATGGCGCTTCCGCATCTAGTTATCTATCTACAATTTGGGCCGCCCAATCAGATCCAAAACCTAATCAACACCCCAAAAACGTATACGGGCTGCCCAACTCAAACTGGGGTAATGTACTTAAGGCGGGCTGCCCTAATATATTGCATTTCATTTATTTTAATCTTAAGGGGTCGTTAAATCGTCAATCTTGGCAAAAATCAGATAAAATGACAAAAACAAGATAAAAAAAACCAAGAATAATTGACAAAGCAAGCCAGCTAAAGCATAATAATTCGAAGCAACTTTCAAAGTTTTAATTTATAAAAAATGCTTCCAACAATATGTTTTTATAATATAAATAATCAAATATTTAATATTGAACTTTATTACTCCAATATATAACTGTATTTTTGATAGGTTAAATCTTCAAATAAACTGGCGTGCTGTCAGGCTATTTTTGCAAAACGAATTCTGCTTATATGTTTTAACAACCTTTTTTCCCCGCTAAAACATAAATATCTTCTTGTTAAAAACAATCTTATTTAAAATATTATCAGATATTAAATATAAACACTTCTTTATTTAAATTTTAGTTCATTATCGTAAGAAGGAATAGTCTTTTTGCTAGAATCAATCTTTTACTTGTTTTCGCAACTTTTGTATCTGTATTTGAGCCAATTCATGGCAAAAAGAAAAAAAGGTAGGGAAAATCCCAAAAAAGGTCTTTGGAATATGGGAAATGTCAGATTGGGTCTTTAAATTTCGAAAATGACAGAATGGGTCATTGACCCAATCTGTCATTTGTGAAATTCAGGTGAATTGACAATTTTACCCTTATTTATTCATTCACTACAATGATTCAAGGAATCACTATAAGAGTTTAGGTGTTACTTAGATTCGTGTAGTGAATAACTACTCACTTTTTCATAGTCAGGTGTCTTGTTATTAACTACAGCTAATTTTGTAATCACTAGAACAATGTAAGCATTATCTAGATTTGTGTAGAGAATAACTACTCATTTTTCCATAATCAGGTATCTTATATTGTCAGGTACCTTATTATTAACTACAACGAATCTTGTATTCACTAGAACAGTGTAAGAGTTACCTAGATTTGTTTAGAGAATAACTACTCACTTTTGCTCAGGGGCAAAAATGTTAATTCGCCTGAATTTCTCAAATGACAGATTGGATCAATGACCCATTCTGTCATTTTCGAAATTTAAAGACCCAATCTGAGATTTAGTATATTCCAAGAGCTTTTTCTGGGATTTTTCCAAAAAGGTATTTGAGCCAATTTAAAAAAGAAAAATGACGGCAGTCCGAAACACCCGCCATCTGGCGGGAAAAGAATTCATCCGGGCAGTTCGTTTCCCGCTTCTCTTCGAATCATTTTAAGGATTCTTCATTTACGATTTGTTCAATTATCCATCCATCGCGTTCACAGTTGGCGCTCACTACGATTCGATTCATTCGCCCCACATGCCGACCATTGCCGGGCGTAAGCTCGCCAAGGAAGCTCTCTCTGAAACAATGGCCGTCGTGGCGGAGAACACAGCTTCTGCTGCCCGATCTGACGCCAACTCCACTCCTCGTAAGAGGAAATTGAGATCCGATGCGCCACTGATTATGGACAGTCCGATTTCTCCGCCGACCAAATGGAAATCGCCTCGCCGATGTAGCAGTGAGAGCCTAAATCGTGCTGTCACCGTAAGTGAGAAGTGAAATATGAGTACGTAATTCGGATGCTTGGTCATCGTCGGTTACTGAATAAGTTGGTTGCTTGTTCATTATTTGTAGGCAAATGAGATGGTTACTAATGAAGGTAAAATCAAATCGCATAAATCGCTGTCGGAGTCAATGCAGGATGGTTTTGCTGATAAACCGAAATGGAACCCCAAAGGTAAGCTTCGTTTATGCTGACTGCTGAATGGTTACGTTATAATCCAATCGAAGGAACATACTGGACTGTAAAATAAAGATAGGAACGAATCTCAGACATGAAAGAGTAGGAGGCACCGGGAGTTGACTTTTGCAATGAGAAATATGGCAACCACAAACGGCGGTGTTGGCTTTTATGGAACAAATACAACTCTCCGCTTGCCGTTTAGATATTGATCACATTCTTGAGAATTGTTCATTTTGCTATGTTTATGCATCTGAACTAAAATGCACCTGAAGACATGTAAGTGCAAATAGGATGGATAAGGTTATTGCCGTGCTGAAATTGCCACAATAATTTGATAGTGCTGATGTTTTTATTATTGGCTTTAATGGTTTTGAATTGTTGCTTGTTTGATACCTTTTGTGATGCCTGCTTTTATTGATTAGCAGATGGTGAGCAAGTAAGGACAGTGAAGGAGGCATTGCACGTGTCTACGGCGCCATCTAAAATTGTCTGCCGTGAAGACGAACAGAATACGGTTTTCGAGTTCTGTAAGTCATGCATCGAACATAAGAAGGCCGGGAGTATGTACATATGTGGGTGTCCTGGTACTGGAAAGTCGCTATCCATGGAGAAAGTAAAGGAGCTTTTAGTCGATTGGGCTAGACAGGTACAATACTTTGGTTTGATTACAATCTTCAATTTGATGGTATGATTCAAGTGTGATGCTTATGAATCTCTCTAAACCTGTGTAGTTATATGACTTTTTTAAACTTCTTTCTACGTTTGCATGTTTTTTCCTCGCTAATTATACTGTGCTGCTAATCAACTCCCTACTAAGCGCTTCATACATGAAGTGTCAATTGAGATTCCCGGGAGATTTTATTTATAATTGATCTCTTTTAACTTACATGGTCTTCTTAGAACCGTTTTTCTTCCTTGCACTAACAATTACCGGTCTGATTTATAGGCAGGCTTCCTTCAGCCCGATGTCTTATCTGTGAACTGCACATCACTTGCTAATACATCCGACATTTTCATCAAGGTAGGCATATGAAAGGCGGAGTTTGGTAAATTCAACATGTTCGCATACTGACCTACTCTTTGTTCTGACAGATACTTGGATTAAACCAACCACGGGGAAAGAAGACTTCAGCTTCTCCCTTGCAACAACTTCAGAACTTGTACTCTCAAAAGTCATCAAGCCAGAAGATGACGTAAGTATCCTTACCCTAAACATTGCCATATATAGGCACTAGAATTTGTTGTGTATTCTGACAAGCAATTACTATTATTTAGTAGTGCTTGTTTACTTATTTGGAATGTCGTCTAACATTAATTAAATACATCTCCGTTGTGACAGATTGATAGTGGTCGACGAATTAGATTATCTAATCACCAAAGATAGGGCTGTGCTTCACGATCTCTTCATGCTCACCACTTTCCCATTTTCTAGATGTATATTAATAGGTAAAGTTGTTGACTGAGCTTTGTCATTATTGCTATTAACCTGCAATAGATTTTGGGCCGTCGAACCTAACTGCGTATTTATACAGGAATATCAAATGCAATTGACCTTGCTGATCGTTTTCTTCCAAGGTTGAAATCATTAAACTGTAAGTAAAATCAATCCCATAAGTTTATGCTAAAAGGATTTCCCTGACTTCCAATCTCTGAATATGGCGCCTTAATACCTCTCTGATGAAGCTGGCCCTTTTCTATTTGGCAACATTGTTACTTATGTTTGCTTTGTTCCAGGCAAGCCTATAATTGTAACATTCCGAGCATACTCTAAAGAACAGATCCTTGGCATTCTGAAGGAAAGGCTAAGGGTAAGATTATTGCCGTTGGTTTATTGGTATCATAGTCATCCGAACGTTGAATAACTAGTTTGATCTCCAGAGTTGGCCTCCTTATGACCCATCTGAGGGCCCCAAAAAAAAAAAAAAAAATCTCCAGTGGCTATATAATTAATTGAATTATACTTCTCTCTGTATTGTTGATTATTGTTTAATAGCTGCCTGTTCCTCTGCCAGGAGCTCCCTTACGCTGTGTTCCAACATCAAGCACTAGAGCTCTGTGCCAGGGTAAGTCTATACGTTGTCTAGAGAAGTTTATATTTGCTGCTTAGCTGACCATTTCATTATTAGCGGTCTTGGCCACGTTCTGTTCATTATTAATGAGATCATAGGTATGTAGCTAAGCTATGGCCTGGAATGTGCTTAAGGGATCTTTTGACACCTGACTCGGCATTGATACTAAATTTCATGTGCATGCAAACACAAGGTCTTCCATATAATAGCCCTCCTAACAGATCCCTTTTCCAAATTGGATAGCCGCCCAAAACCATTCCTCTTTTGGCAAGAGTGGTATTCAATTATATGTTTGGCCGAGTATTTATGAGAGGAGGACCGTAGAAAACTTACATCATCATTCATCTTAAAAGCTTAAATAGATGCTAACTGACATTGCGCATTGCAGAAAGTTGCTGCTGCTTCTGGAGACATGCGAAAAGCTCTTTGTCTATGCAGGTTAGCCATTTTATAATAATAACAACTGATAGTTGTTTCTGGGCTAATGAGAGCACAATGAGTCGGTAATTCTTAATGCTAGAACATAAGCATAACATGACTCAGTCAATTAGATTGCCTCTTATAAATAATGAGTCAATCATTCAAAGTTCTTTTTACTATATTAAAACTGTAGTCAATTAGCCCCTATGTTGCTAATGAGGCCTTTGGGCCACCACTATCCCTCTGAGATTCTGAACCACGGGCGTAGTCTTTGATTTTAAGATTCTCGTTTTCTAATTATTTAAAAATAAATTGTACAAGAATTTATCCACAGCTTTTGTTGATCTTAGAGTTGCATTTACATCTTAGATAAACTAATAGCATTCTAGCAAGAGGTGATTTTACTGTTGATATATGATCTACTTCGGTCATTAGGCCGTGTGGGAGCCTTCAAAGGAATGTGTGTAATAATTTATTTGCTTTTCAGGAGTGCAATTGAGATGCAGGAGGCAGAAATTAGAGAATCTATTGGCCTTTCAGAAATTTCATTGGAAGAGAAAGCTCCCCCTCAACAAACGATAACTTCTGACCTCGATCATGTGAAAAAACAAGAATTTGATGTCGTAAGTGTTCACAATTTTGCTTTAAATTCGTGGTTCCAACCTTGGATGGATATTTCATCACTTTAGACTAACTAAAGTGCAAATTGAAGACAGCTAAAGAAACGATATTGTAGTATTAGGGTAAAAATTTGCGCCGAAGGAGAGTGTAAACTTGCTTCTGGCATGCATCCCATTTTGACCAATACTTAGAGTTTTGATTAATCTCCCATGTCTATAATGCGATGTGTCAAAGTTAACCCAGATCTTTGTAGAAGACAGTGACACGTAAAGTCTGTGCATCAGTTCTGATTGAATCATCAATAGTCAAAGATGTAGGCAACTTAATAAGATTATGAATTTTGATGTCCAAAGAACTTCTCTTTTCTTCATGTTTTCCCTGTCATTTCAGTAAGCTTTGTCATCAAGTGTTTGTTAAAGATATTCGCTTTTAGGTTAATTATGTTAATTCCAAATGTCAGGAAGGTTAAAGAATTTCCTTTCCTTGCTTTGTAGCTGAAATTTTCATAATGAATTGCAGGTAAGGATTGATCATATGGCTCTTGCCTTGTCCAAGACATATAGATCACCTGCGGTGGATACAATACAATCTCTACCACATCATCAACAGGTATCCTTGAATCAGAACATGTAAATGTTCCTGCATGAAATAAAGAATGCTAATGTTGTGAGCCCTGGGCTTCATAAATCTTTTCTTCTAAGCTGGAAGCCAATCAGCCATCTCATTAAAGTAAATCTGAGCAGTCCAGCCTTAATATTATATGAAATTATTAATAAAATATTAAATCATTAAAAAAATGAATAAAGGAATTCAAACTGCTAAATTTAGCCAGGACAAGTTTAAAACTGCAATAAAGAAATATTTTAAAAAATTATTTCAAAACGACAGGAGAATGAAATGGAAAAAGGCTGTTTAACCGTGACGGTAGTTGAGAAGTTTTGAAGAGTAAAAAGTGACGAAGCATTTTTCAACTTTCTGGCTTCTACCGTTTCCTATGTGCAATTAAGTGATGTCAATCTCCCGGGTTACTCATTTTACAACTTGATTAGCTTTCTCAGTATTTAAATTGCTGTAGTTAATATTCTTTTCTGGACATTTACTGCTTCCAGATCATCCTTTGCTCTTCCATGAAACATTTCAGTGGAACAAAGAAAGATACAATCCTTGGCGAGGTATGCTTTCCAGGCATCATAGATCAATGTAATAATTTGATTCCATCCTAAATATATATTGATTTCTATTATCGTATGCAGTTGTACAAATCTTACGCGGGCATATGCAAGTCTTCACTGATTCCTCCGGCTGGAATTTTGGAATTTTCAAATATGTGCAGAGTATTGAATGATCAGGTATCCATGACGATGTTTACTGCTGATATGTTTCTTTAGACGTAGTAATATGTCACTGGCATTCATAGAATTTGACCCACTTTTGAAAGAAGAATAATCAATTTATACATCAAAATCACAGGGGCTTATTAAACTAGGGCCATCACGGGAGGACAAATTGAAGAGGGTGACACTAAGAATAGACGAAGCTGACATTACCTTTGCATTGCAGGTAGTTTTCAGAAGTTTAAGCCCTTTTATGCATACCATTTAATTTTTCCCTTTTTAATTTCTATCAGTATTTTTGGCTCACCATTCTAACAAATCTTTTCCATCATTTAATTTTATGACACAGGGAATCCGTTTCTTTAGAAACTGTCTTCAGTAATTCTTCTTGGGCTAATGATGGCGGGTTCAATTAAGCTTGATGTTTGAGAATATATTCTTTCCTTTCCTGATTATCGCTCCATGCTTAAGGTTAGAACCTATTGTCATTTAATGATTTTCAAAAATATTTCTCCCTTTAAAAATATTTTTACTGCTTAATTGTTTCAATTTCTTATAATATAGATTTACTGGATTAATTTCTGTACGCCCATATACAAAGGGCGCAAACACGTCAAGCCATTAGCCCATAACTGATAGATTACTAAATTCATAAACATGAATAATATGTGTTAATAGATACAAATTTTTGCTGATTCTAAAGGCGTTCACGGTATTTATGAACTATACCAAGTATCGAATGTTGACCACTTTCAGGCTTCTGCATATTTTCCCCCCGCATGCTAATAGCTTTTCTTCCTGTGTTCATATGCAGTTGACATCCAGCAATGATGATAAAAAACAAGTTTCCTATTGTTTGCATTATTTTTCGATGGATAAACAATAAAGCCAAGGTGAATCAATTTGGCCGGAGTTTCCTGTGAAGAAGGGAAAACTTCTTTAGATATAGAGCTCTTAGTTTTCTCGATGACAATTGTAATAGAAGAAACATGATTATATGCAAGAGAACTTAGTTCCTGTTCATTCCCTTGTCTATTATATCACAGACAATACACACACACACACACACACATGTACATTGTTATGGAGGTAAATTATTGGTTAAGCATTGACAGAAAAATCAATAAGCTTTCCCATCGCCTTGGCACAAACACGCCCAGTTGGTGACTGAAAAAGGAAGTAATTTCAGGTAGGCGTGACGCTTTGTCGTGGTTTTCGAAGACCTAATTAAGCATGCTTGCTTGTATTATTGTCTTTTCATTTTTGTTTTTATATTATCATGAGAAAATATGTGAACTATAACTTCTACAGGGCACGGTATCATCAGTAACTTGAAATTTCAAGTCTTTCTTGGTTGGCATTTGTCTTCGAGAGGAAAACATGTTTAGTTTATTGGGACAAGGATCAACCGTGGGGTTTAATTGCAAATTATTTACAATCTTTTTCACCTTTTACCAAGTCTTCATTTTGATTTTTGGGAATAAGACAAAATGATATTGAGAAAATGAGTTTTACAAAGTATAGCAAGATAAAGTACAAATAGAATTCCAAAAAAGCCTAAAAAAATGAGACGTATGAGAAAAATTGCGTAGTAAAGATGAAATCTCCTGCTAAGTTATGGAAGACATTTGGGTAGGATTACGGAACAGTAAGTGGTGACTTAGATTCTGCAATAAATGGGTCAGAGCTTGCGTTCACTAGTTCCATACCAAGTCTTCATTTTCACCTCTCATGTCTGGTCTACTCTTACAATGCAGAGGACTCTGAAGCCCTTCTGGGGCATTTTGAAGACAAGGTGATAAATAATGTTGCGGAGGGTATCCGACCAACTCCCTCTATTTTTGGCAACTGCCACCATCATCATCCGTTATTCCGTTAGGGTATTTTTTTTTTTCAGTCCAATTTATCCGCAGTTAGTTAATTTTTTTTTATCTGAAAACTATAATAACTAATTTATAATTTTTTTAAAAAAAATAAAGTGCTATTATATTCAAGATTTTTTAAAGATAGGATTCAGTTATTTAAAGATTTTTAGCCGGACAGTTATTTACAGATTTTAAACATTATTTCATTCTGGCAATGAATCAATGATTACTTTCATAAAGATTTTATGAAAAATAAATATTATGTTAAAATAGATAAATGTTAAAAGGTGGACATATAAAGGAAGAAAAACTCAGTAGTGAAGATTCCGATTACCCCCGCCAGCTGTTTTAGTTGCAGAATTCGTAGGCCGTGTAGAAAAACGACGCAAATCCACCTTTCAGTCTGTTCGGGGAGAAATCGAGAGGGAGGGACGAATGGAGAATCTATGGCGCGCAGCGACGGGTCAAGACCCGAGACCTGAAGACTACGATGGAATCGAGTTCTGGTCGAACCCTGAGCGAGCCGGGTGGCTCACCAAGCAAGGCGACTACATCAAGACCTGGCGCCGCCGCTGGTTCGTCCTCAAGCAAGGTAAGCTTTTCTGGTTCAAGGACTCCTATAGCGTCTCCCGCTCCTCCATCCCTCGCGGAGTCATCCCCGTCGGTTCTTGCCTCACCGTCAAGGGCGCCGAGGACATCATCCACAAGCCCTGCGCCTTCGAGCTCTCCACCGCCAACACCACCATGTACTTCATCGCTGACACCGAAAAGGAGAAGGAGGAGTGGATTAACTCCATCGGCCGTGCGATTGTTCAGCACTCGCGCTCCGTTACGGACTCCGAAGTCGTCGATTACGACAGCAGACGGTGACTTTGTGACGCATGGTTTCCAGATGCCCTCGATTTGTGTGCATAATCCGTCTTCCAAGTTGTAAAATTTCTCATAATCTTATGGAATTTGTTATAATTTCAATGAGTTTCGTGATGGGTGTCTTGGATTTCTTGATGTATAATATTTTCGAGTTGATCTGATCAATCTCATTTGGGTTTTCCCATGCCCGTTCTGATCGTTAGCTGCCGGAGTAGACATCCTTTGTTGCTTCTTCAAGCGGATCCCGCTGAGCTCTGATTCAATTTCCATCGGGAAAATTATTGGTGCCCAATTATTATCCTTTTATTTGATTGTTGCTGTTTGATTTACTGCCCAGCCTTGACTCTTATCTAAATTTTGTGAATTTGTTTCTTGTATGAATTATTACAAGTTGTTTCATCGATCCAATTATTCCCTTTTCTATGTTTGAGGTTTTATCTCTGAAGTTGTGGAAGATATCTAGTCCCGTTCATCCAATGTTAGTTACTGCTTCTGCTTCCTTTTTTTTTTGGGTATGACTGAGACCTGCAATCTGATTATAACCTTTCTGGAATTTTCGCAATCATCTGGTGTGGGAGTATAGGACTATCTTCTAATATTTCTTTCCACGCGTAATTAATCCTTCTCCATTCTCTGCCTTGTTATTCGGCCTTCGCTGCAATTTACTTGGCTGAAATCTTAGGATATCATTTTCGTATTTAACATGTGATGTTGCAATTTTACATTAATCTGCTAGCATTTTTTCAGTCTTAGTTGCAATCTAGCTTTTCTTCTCTCCCTTCTTCAGTTCTCTCCTGAATGATATTTATTTGTTAGATTTGACTGCGAGCAACCATTTTTTCCTTTAGCCGGTTAGTTTCTAGCGTCCAGTAGTTAGGGGTTCTCTTTTCTGTCTTCTTTATATCATTGGAAATGCCTATTTAATCTCCGATGTTAAATTTTCTTAATGCCTTTTTTTCCGAACAATAACAATGCTTAACTTAGTGTTACATACCTCTTGTGCTCTTTTAGGTGGATACACCAACTATGCTTGAAACTCACAGTTTGACTCGTTGATCTCTCTGCATTTCCTTTGAACTTAAGTCATAGAAGATACTGATGTGTTCCTTTCTGTGCCCCTCTTTGGAAGTGTCATGACTCTACCGAGGAAAATATAACCATCCTGTGCTATGTGAGGTCTACTTTCATAAGATAAGCAGTTCACCACGTCCTATGCAGGATTTGGTTCTCAATGTTTCTGCTTGCCTCGCATGTTCAACTCATTTGCTTTACTTTTGACTGTGATTGATAAGGCAGATGCCAAGTTCATATGGCATCATTCTATGTTTGAGTTTATGTTTGCCACACATGTTTAACGCAATTGCTCTAAATATATTGCTTTTGACTGTGATTGACAAGGCAGATGCTGAGGTTATGTGACATCATTTGATGTTTTTGCCAATGAAGGGGCTTATAGTAAGTAATTTGGGACTTGGAACTACGTGATGTTTTATTTCTGGTGACGAACCCCGAGACCATTGTTTTATTTCTGATGTTTTATAGTAAGTACCATTGTAAGACCTTGTTTTGGGGGGGGGGGGGAGAGAAGATGAGGGCACTGGAGAGAAAACCTCCCTCTTTTAAAAACACCTTGTTAGTGATCAATTGCATAGTATCAACTTGCATGTTTTACCTGCTAGAGGCTATCCTGAGTTCTTTGTATGAATGTGAGGTTGGGCTACATGAGGGGCAACGGTATATGTATTTCTGTTAGTGGAGGACCAGGGCTATAACAATTGGGACGCTCATTTCGTTTTCCATAAAAAAATTGGCTTTGGATTCTGAAACAGTTTTCACTTTGCGAGTAGCAATAGTCCTGTGCAAACAAATTACTCTGTCCTTAGAAGTGAAGGGACTTCATCACCATTTTGACACGAAGTGATTTAACATGACAGCTATAATGCATAAAAAATGGTAAGGGAATCAAGATTGCTGATGAGGAATGTGATAATATAGTTGTAGTGGAAGCTTTAGTTTACTTTGTAAATCATTTGCGCATAGGCCTTATGTGTGCGTGTGCCCGCCCACTGAGATGCTATCGAAAACATGATGGGTGACTAGATTCCATGTCATCATGGGCAAGTTGTCGGGTTGGCATATTTTATTTCTGATGATAAAGGAAGAAAACAGAATGCTGCATCTGGGGAACCTACCCAAGCAATAAACCGAGGGCACAGTCTAGTAATAATTGACATTGAAAGAATACGCTTTATCAAATATATGCCTACACTGAATATCAAGTGATGGATTTGTTTAAAGATTGGCAACGAAGCATTCTTCCGTCAAAGAAAAATCGAGGTTAAACAGACTAGCAATTGAGAATGCAAATAGAATGGAGCTGGCGTTTTGGGTGGAAAATTGGGAAGCTGTGTGTGTGTGTGTGTTTTGAAAAAATAGTATTCTGAAATAATTTTTGATGTACTAAACATCCTAAATTTTTTTTTTTCAATAACATCTATCCCGTATTTTAAAATGATTTTTTTGGTAAATTCAGCATCTTAAAATTTTTTTTCCATCCTAAAATAATTTGGTATACGCAGCATCCTAAAATATTTTTTTTAGTAAAACCCAGTATTTAAAATAATTTTTAATGCATCTAACACCATAAATTGTTTTTAGAATAGCACTCTGTATCCTTAAATAATTTTGGTACACTTAGTATCTTAAAATATTTTTTCATAAACACTCACTTGGTATTCTAAAATAATTTTTGATATATTCAATACTTTAAAATATTTTTTTGATAGCACCCAATATCCTAAAACTTCTTGTTATCAAAAAAAATATTTCAAAATTAGATGCTATTAGAACCAAAAATTATTTTAGGGCGTTGGGTGCTATTGACAAAAATTTTGGGATGCTTAGTGTACCTAAAATTACTTTAGAACATGGAGTAGATGTTCTTGAAAGAAAATTTAGGATATTTAGTACATAAAAAAATATTTTAAAATACTTAAAAAAAAAAAAGATAATATCCCGCTCCCCAATCTTCCACCCACAACGACATAGTTTTGGGTAGTGGAGAGGGAAGGGGGCAGCGGAGGGCGGGGGGAAGCCAGCTCCCAAATAGAACTCGTTTTTGAAGGAGCTCGGCAAAACGTATAACCGATACGAGGCTATGGACACATACACGTGTCGAGGGAAACTATAGAATAGAACGCTCGTTTCTCTCCGCTCCAATCTGCTCGCCCGCCGCTTGCGAACCTGAACCAACCGGTATATGTACGATATAAGTATAAAATTGCAATGTTTTTAGGTTGGCTAAGGACACCATACAAGCATTTCTACGCGCATGAACATACGATATGTACGACAATCAAAAGGCCGGCTATGCGTTAAGGTTCTGATTGCTTAATACCTTTGAACAAAGATTATAGTGAGACTAGAGTTTCGTATCCTTTTCTTTTATTGTACTTTGAATTGGGTTGGAAAATTATATTTTAAATAGAATATTTTCAAAAGTTCAGGAAAAAAAATAATTTTTTAATGATTAGACCTAACGAAATGTATTGTTGAAAAATTATGTCAAGAGAAGATTAATTTTTCAAGAAGCAAATCATTAATCTACTTTAAAAATATGATTGAAAGCCTAATTTTTTTCATGACTAAGGGGGAGAAAAAAAAGCCATGCATATGCATAATACGGTTGGTTTTTGTATTGGGAAAAAAAAAAACGGAATACACCGAAAGCGGCAAAGACAATCACTCGCCGATGACACACAGACAAAAAGAAACCTTAATCGGTGAGCAAATACCGTATTTCTTATCGCTTAACAACGTCTAAATTCTCATTTTTGGTCTTGCTTCTGCTTCTGCTTTGCTTCGCATAGCATCCTTGCTTACCGCTTTCTCTTTATTTACCACTTTCCTCAACCTTTCAACCATAGGAAATTCTTCCACCGATTCGCTACGAAATTTTCTTCATTCCAGTCACCGGAGATGTCTCTCCGCTCAGTGTCCTTCGCATTTTTCTTCGTCCTCTACCTTTTGGTCTCCTCTCAAGCCACCGACTTCAATGGCATACGCAAGAAGCACAAAATCAATGGACCCATCAAAACTGTGGTCGTCCTGGTGATGGAGAACCGATCATTTGATCACGTTCTGGGGTGGCTGAAATCAACACGACCAGAAATTGATGGTTTGACGGGCAAAGAGTCAAACCGACTCTCAGTTTCCGACCCGAACTCTCCGGAGGTTTTCGTCTCTAACTCTGCTGTGTTCGTCGACTCTGATCCGGGGCACTCATTCCAGGCCATAAGGGAACAGATATTCGGATCAAACAATACCTCAGCGAACCTGGCTCTCATGAACGGGTTCGCTCAGCAGGCCGAGAAGATGGTTGAGGGAATGTCGAAAACCGTCATGAGCGGGTTCAAACCAGAGGTCTTGCCGGTCTACACTGAGTTGGCGAACGAGTTCTGCGTGTTCGACAAATGGTTCGCCTCGGTGCCCGCGTCTACTCAGCCAAACCGCTTTTACGTTCACTCGGCGACATCCCACGGTGCTATGAGTAACGTTCGTAAGGATCTTATCCACGGGTTTCCTCAGCGAACAATCTTTGATTCTCTAGACGAAAATGGTCTCACATTTGGGATCTATTACCAGAACATCCCCGCGACATTGTTCTTCAAGAGCCTGAGGAAGCTCAAGTACGTCACAAAATTCCACAGCTACTCTATGAAGTTCAAGTTGCACGCGAAGTTGGGCAGGCTTCCAAATTACGTGGTGGTGGAGCAACGTTACTTCGACGTGGACCTCTTTCCGGCCAACGACGATCACCCATCGCATGACGTGGCGCTAGGGCAGAGGTTCGTGAAGGAGGTTTACGAGACGCTAAGGGCTAGCCCTCAGTGGAAAGAGATGGCCTTACTGATTACATATGATGAACATGGTGGGTTCTATGACCACGTGCCTACCCCTGTTACTGGTGTACCCAGTCCGGACGGGATCATTGGACCCGATCCGTATTACTTTCGGTTCGACCGCTTGGGTGTTCGCGTCCCGACCATTCTGGTGTCGCCGTGGATTGAGAAGGGTACCGGTGCGTATTGTTGTAATTTATATATTTTTTGTTTATGTCCAACATGTCTGGGATATCAACACGACTCTAGGACAATCTCAAAGATGTTTGCAATTATGATTAGTTTCGAAGTGTTTCTCAATTCTCAGAGCATTTGAATTCAGGTCCTTCTATGTGTCCCTTAGACGCATGAATACTTTTTGTCTGTCTGCAAATTGAAGTTTTGAGTTTGTCTCGTGCATAGTGTAAAAACAGAGCCGTCTGCTATCACAAGCTTCTTAATATCTGTTTTGGTGGTTCTGCAAGTTGTGGAAGTATTAAGGATCTACGGATATTGATTACTGTTCCTTGTTACTTGATCTTTAACTTTTACATTCCTGTATTTAGCTCTGCTGAAATCTTTTGGCCATGTTAGTATGTTGTTATAATTATGAGCTTTTGGCTTGCCGCTGAGCCTTTGTATCATTAGTCTTTAAATGCTCGTTTATATTTGGTGGTATTTTACTCGTACCTCTAGACTCTTTGTAGCCGTGCTTCTGCACAAAGTTGTACTAATGGTCACTTGAAGACATAAATAAGTAATTATTGTGATAATTTTTGTGACAGTATCTATTATCACAAGTGTTGTCATAGGCTAAACATATCTTTGGTGTACTCCCAGCAGATTCAAAAGTTTTGGCATATAGGTTTTTATATTGTTCTGTATAGTCACTTTTTCTCTTGTGTATTCTTTACTAGACTTCAATTTTATTGCATTCTAACCTTTTTCAGTTTGAATTGTCTCTTCATTTTTGCAGTGATTCATGAACCAGAGGGGCCAACACCATATTCGCAATTTGAACATTCTTCTATTCCCGCCACAGTAAAGAAGCTATTCAATTTAAAATCCAATTTCTTGACAAAAAGAGATGCTTGGGCTGGTACCTTTGAGAAATACTTCCACCTTCGTGATACTCCTCGCGAGGACTGTCCAGGTTTGCTTCTACTTTGATTATCACTCAGCTCAATGTATTCTTAGTTTTCATTTACCTTGGGTTTAGAATTTCCGCTATCTGAGACATGGCGAACCATGTTGCTACTCACAGAATCATTAGGTAGACCAATGGGATGTTTGGATGGAACCCAAAATATAGTTTCAAAAATGATTTTACGGTATACAAAATAAATATGTAGAGAAGTTTGTTTCGATTTATGAATTGATATCCAAGTTTGTCGCACACTTTACAATGGGGCACACTTTACAATGGGACCCGTCTCTGATAACTTGGGAAACAGGGGACTCTGGGAATCTTTCTACAAACAACCTTTCATGACCATAATCATAGCCTGGTAAAGATGCTGGTGTAGCAGTATGGCGGGCTGGCATGCCTAAATGCATGATCATAGAAATTTCCTTTGTCTCTTTCACTCGGTGCAATAGCACAAGAGTGTAAGTTTCCACCTTTGTCCACTTCCTGAAATAGGTTATGCAATAATAGTGAAAATGCCAAACGGCATGCTTGAACCTTACAAAGAACCAAAAACACAGAAACACCAAAGACTCTTGTCTTGTTCTTTTTCTGATTTGAATACGACCAACGTGTCTTCGCAGAGAGGCTTCCAGAGGTGAAGTTTTCACTGAGGCCAGGGGGACCCAGAGAAGACACTAGCCTCTCAGAGTTCCAAGTTGAGCTAATCCAGCTCGCGTCTCAGCTCAACGGGGATTATGTGCTTAATGCATATCCAAATATTGGGAAAAGCATGAAAGTGGGAGAAGCAAACAGATATGCAGAAGATGCAGTGAACAGGTTTTTGGAAGCTGGAAAGGCCGCTCTTAAAGCTGGAGCTAATGACTCTGCCATAGTCACAATGAGGCCTTCCCTCACTAGCAGGGTTTCTGTGGGAGAAAATAGCGATAATCTTAGAACGCAGTAATGCTTTTCATCATACCCAGATGGATACCTATAGTGCCTTATTGACATAGTGGCGTGAAAAACAAAACATATGTAGCCTAGTGTAATGGGCCTTGTATTGTATTTTAGGTTCTGACGGAAATTATTTTCCTTTTGTTTTAGTGTCGATGTATATCTCTCTAAGGTAGTCAGGTCGCACATAAACCTTGGATCAATACGCTCTGTGCTTAAGCAACTTAAGATAAATACAGAATATAGCGTGAACAACTTTTTTTTTTTGGGGCGAAAAATAACACAGCTTTTCTGATTTTTTTTGGGGTCACAAGACCTAAAGAAACATTCTGTGTTCAGACATTCCATCACAGGGAGAATTTTATAAAATTCTAAAAAAAAACAATATAATTATTAAAAAGTTTAATGACTATAGAGCAACTTGTAATAACAAATTTTAATATGTGAAATGAAAATTTTTTATTTGTCTTTGAGATTTTTTTTAATAGGAAAATGACACAAAAATGATACTTCAACTTGAAAATATCAAAATAATAATTTGAATTTGCAAAATTCTAATTTAGGCACAAGTGACCGATTTGATATTTTTAAATTTGCTGAAATGACTATGTTGCTATTTATTTTATTTATTCTTTTTTAAAAAACCAAAAGCTCCCACTAGCTGGCCGGTTACTAGAGCTCAGGTGGCCACCGTCACCAGAGCTCTGGTGCCTAACAATAATTTTTTTGAAAATTTTTACAATTTCAATAAAACAGTTAATAACTCTTGTAACGCTACTAACAAGTTCAATATAGTAGTTAACAACAGATTATCTAGAAAATTCAAAAAGTAGTATTTTTACAACTTCAATAACGCTGTTAACAAGTTTGTTACTCTATTAACAACTTCGGTATAACATTTAACAACAGGTTTTTTAAATAAAAAATAAAAAACATGGCATTTTTACAACTTTGGCAACTTTTTTTTTGAAGATTTTTTACAACTTTAGTAAAACTGCTAACAAGTTTCGTAATGCTATTAAAGAGTTAAATATAGCAGTTAACAATAGGTTTTTCAAGAAATTCAAAAAGTAACATTTTTACAATTTCAGTAATGCTGTTAATAAGTTTTGTAACCCTATTAATAAGTTCGGTATAGTATTTAACATATCGCGAAGCTTATCAGGGAGATGTTTTTTATTTACATTCACGCCTTTTGGAAAGAGCCGCTAAATCAAGTTCTCAGTTAGGTGAAGGAAGTATGACCGCTTTACCCATAGTTGAGACCCAATCGGGAGATGTTTCAAGCTTATATTCCTACTAATGTAATTTCCATTACAGATGACCAAATATTCTTATCCGTCGATCTATTCAATACTTTCTTATACTTACTTATAATATAATAATATAATAATAAATAATATCTTAACTTAAATAGAATATATTAAATATTAATATTAATATTATTCTATTTATTATTAGTCTGTTGTTTTCTGAAAAATTTAAAAAGTAGTAATTTTACAATTTCAGTAACATGGTTAACAAGTTATATAATGATATTAACAACTTCAGTATACACCACAAAAGCTGAAATTTAAAAATCCACCATTCATGCCAACTTAAGTTGATGATTTAAAGGTTCAAGAGTATAAAGATAGTTATTTGTATATAGCTCAATGTCTAAAACCTAAAAGAAGAAGGTTGCTTATACATGGTCAAAACTTATAAAAGTTTAGTGTGATTTTTAGTTTTATTTTGTTATTTTTAAGGGAACAGTCTCTTCAGGATTTTCGATTTTGGGCAGCAAAACTAATTAGCAAAAAACTTGTTTAAAGGGTGTTTGGATAGAAACCAAACCATAGTTTTAAAGTGTTTTTACGGTTTACAAAGTAAATATGTAGAAGAATTTGCCTCATTTTACGAAAAAGTACTTTTGAAACTATAGTTGGAGGTTGCTAAACACCCCATAAATCTCAACACAAGTACACAACTACCCCCACCCCCAAAAAAAAAATCGCGCTCATGCCTTAGCCCGTAAAGAACCACTGAAGCAGAATGCACAAACTGTCAACGTTAAATGAACACCCGCTAGCCCATTGGCCAACTACCTTTCAACCTCACCCCAATCTTCCTATTTATCCCTGTGCTTCATCCTCCTCCTCTCTCGCACTCTCTGTCTCTCTACAGCACCTAGCTACTTTTCAGACTCACCAAGCCCACACACGCACACACGCATCATTATCAAATAAAGTTATCCTCAAACTTGCTATTTCTCTCGCCCCTTCTTCGTCTCTCTTACTCATGGAGGCTTCATGGGAGCAAAGTGTTGCATACTCCCTCAACACCATCTTCCTTCTCTTCTCTGCCTACCTCGTCTTCGTCATGCAAATCGGATTCGCCATGCTCTGTGCAGGCTCCGTCAGAGCTAAAAACGCCGTCAACATTATGCTCACTAATGTTGTAGACGCCGTCGTCGGAAGCATCTCTTTCTACCTCTTCGGCTTCGCATTTGCCTACGGCGACGGCCCCAGTTCCAACCCTTTCATAGGCACGGATCTCTTTGCTCTCGTTAGCATTCCAAACGGCACTTACGATTACAGTTTCTATCTTTACCAATGGGCGTTCGCCATAGCCGTAGCGGGCATCACAAGTGGTTCTATTGCTGAGAGAACCCAGTTCAGTGCTTATCTTGTATTCAGCTTTTTCCTTGCGGGCTTTGTGTACCCGGTCGTAGTCCACTGGGTCTGGTCTTCCAACGGTTGGCTCAGTACGAGTTCAAGCAATCTGTTTCTGGGCTCAGGTGCGATTGACTTCGCCGGAAGCGGAGTGGTGCATATGGTTGGCGCAGTGGCTGGCTTTTGGGGTTCACTAATACTAGAACCACGGGTCGGCCGGTTTGATGCATTTGGCAAGCCCGTGCCGCTCCGAGGCCACAATGCGAGTCTAGTGGTACTCGGCACGTTTCTTTTGTGGTTGGATGGTTTGGATTTAATCCCGGCTCGTTTGATAAGATTTGGTGCCGTATCCCGACGCATCCGATGAGGGTAATTGGACGTCCATTGGCCGAACGGCGGTTGTGACCACCTTAGCTGGTTCGACGGCGGGAATCATCACGTTGTTTGGCCGGCGGTTGATAATTGGTCACTGGGATGCATTTGACATTTGCAATGGATTGCTTGGCGGGTTTGTTGCTATTACCTCTGGATGCTCCGTGGTTGAGCCATGGGCTGCTATTATTTGTGGGTTTGTCTCAGCTTGGGTCTTGATTGGGCTGAACGTATTGGCACTAAAATTGAACTATGACGACCCGTTAGAGGCAGCCCAATTACATGGGGGGTGTGGGGCCTGGGGTTTAATATTCACGGGCTTGTTTGCCAAAGAGGAGTTCGTGATTCAAGTCTACGATAAAGGTGTGACTGGGGTGAGTAGACCCTATGGGCTTCTATTAGGAGGTGGATGGGCCTTGCTTGGAGCCCAAATTGTGGAATTGTTGGCTATATTGGGCTGGGTTAGTATCACCATGGGCCCTCTGTTCTATGCCTTACACATGCTTAAGCTACTCAGAATCTCAAAAGACGATGAAGTTACAGGCCTTGACATCTCAACCCACGGAGGATCTGCTTATTCTCATCACGACGAAAACGTTCCTCTATCTTACGCCGATTATATGCGCGTTAGAGATAATCAATCATGATTACGTTTCAATAACAGTTTAGCAGTCATATTTTTTCAAAGCGCTGTACTGTTAAGAAAGTTGAATTTGAATATCTTATTGTTTTGCCTTTGAACACACACAAACGTCAGCCTCTTCTATTACATTTACATCCAACTTCTTGAGTTTCACACCATAATATTTTTAGAAGGACGTAGAGATTAAGCAGATTACTACTCAAACTTGTACAAAACTTTGCTAACACTCCATTCACTTGCTAGATCTTTTTAAATAAAGGCAATAAGTAAGGATTGACGTAAGGCACACCTAGAGATTGTAAAGTGACTTCCTCATCTATTGCTTTTGTGTGAAACTGAAACGCAAGGATAAATCAGCTAGTTGAGGCAAATATTGTGCCCTCCCATTCTTCTGGAAGGCTGTTCCATTACATTACAATAAAATATTATCAACTTCAAGCATAAAGACGACACAAACCTGCTTGGAACCATAAGATGAAGCCACTGCTATGAACATTAAGCCGGACAATATGTACAATCAGTTACTATCTAAAATGGCATGTACGGCGAAACAGTTATGTGCAAAGTTCTTGAGGCCTGTAAATATAGCCGTTAACTCCTACAGGGTTCATAAGAGACATGCGTGGGGTCCGGATCAACAATAGGCAACTTCTCCATGTACCAAAGCAACCTCTTAAGGTTCTCTTTGAAAATCGCTCTGATATCCATAATATCACCCTCATCTATGTAATTCCAAAGGTCACATGAGTTGACCCTTTTAAGATTTCCCCGGCAAAAGGGGCATGACTCGGATCTCTCACACCTGAAGGGGCAATGCAAAAGGCACACAATCATCACCGAGTCCTGTAACTCGTACAGTGTACATAGTAAAAGAATATCCAAAGCACAAATTGTTTTAAATAGCGATGTGCAGGGTGTAACAGTCTATATATTTAGAAAACCTAGTTGCTTGGTTTTATCACTAGTAGCACTTACTCTCTTATATGACATTATTTCATAGGACTAGTTGTGAAGCAGAGGATCCAAGATTACAAAAATAATGATAAAAATTTGATAAGAAATTCATAATATCGATGACATCCCTCAATTCCCATCTCAGGGAAGTGTAACATACTGACATCCTTTCTCTTTCAGATTTACATGTTATTAATGTTGAATAACAGACTGTAAAATACATATCACAGGTGGGACAACTCCAATTAGCAACCATAAAGAATGATGCCATAATATGACAGTGACACAATATGATATGAGATAGGAATCTAACACGGAGAGGGATAAGAAAGAAAGAGACAAGGAATTTTACCAATCCCTGAAGCACTTCAAACACATGCAATGGCAGCAATTAGGCAGCACAACTTTTGCCTTCACCTCCATGCAAATTCCACACTCCTCTTCTCTTTCCACGTCAAATTTTGATTGTTTTTCTTTCTTCTTATATCTAATAGCATATACTTCATTTTGTTTCTTTTCCTCCAAATCTGTGATGCCCTTCTCAAGTTGCAACAAAGCAGGAAATATAACCGCTGTATGCCAGGAAAGAGGCAAAGCAAAAGGTGTAAGTATATGTATGTTCGGTAACGATACTATAAGAAACGGAGGTAATTCCGCCCGAAAAAGAGCAAAAGGCATACAGTTGAAATACTCATTCATCTTTCACCAAAGGGAACTTACAGTTAAACTCTTTAATGCTTGCTTTCCTTTCATATATTGACATGGTGGTCTTCCCATCTCCATAGGTCTGCATTAATCCCATCATGCCACTACATTTACTAAATTATATGGAAAATGCAGTAAAACAAAATCAAATAGACAATGACAGGAAGCTTTGACAAAGACAAATGAAGCAAAGCAAATTTAATCAAAAACAGATACATTAGATAGGTGTGATCTGTGAAGGGCATATACCATATAAACTAGAACTCTCAGTAAACCCAGAGCACCAGCCAGGTGGTAATCCGCCCATTGAACAAGAAAAAGAAATAAGGTAGCACCTGGACCGTATGACAGTCTCATTTGAAAGCATGCTCCATCTTTATCTCTCGGATACCCTAATAACCTGGAAAAATAACAAGATAATGAGAAACATAGACATTAAATATAATATTCGGATGAAATAAAGTGCGCTCATCATATTTGTATTAACCTGGAAAAGAGCTCCCTACAGTTTTTATGTGTCATTAATTTGCATTACTTTTCATATTTAAATAACTTATCCCTGGAAAGACCCGTTTCAAGCTCCAGTATACCCCATGTGCAAACTTGTTACCATTTGGTTCTCGAATAAAAAACAGTGCAAGCAAATATACAGAAAATCACATTTACATATAAATAAAAAGTCATTCAAGGCTACTTTTGGCCCAAAAAACCCAGGTCGTCTCAGGCTGCAGCCTGCAATTCACAAGCGTCGGACCAAAATTTACATATTTAAAAAAAATAGGTGAACAATTCTACCGATGGGAAACAGGGAACGGGAATTAAAACAGTTCATGGTCAGGCATCGTATTTCAAACATTTTAAAGCAACATGGACACTCGGTCAAACGATTACATTTTCTGAGCTCCCTTATCAGCTGCTGAGTTCTGAAGCAAAGTAATAACCATTTACCCCGAGAAGGAGAATTCATAACAATTTGAAACAGAGAAGGACTTACAGATCATTGGCGTACTGAATATCAGCTTCCAGAGCTTTTAGAGAATCATGAAACGCTGATTTCCCCATTCCACGGGAAGTAATTTCTGCCTACTACTAAAGATATACAACGAAGAGAATGGCAGAGCCCAATGCGTCAGCAAGAGAGAGAGGGAGAGAGAGAAAGAAGAAGAAGGAGATCGTCGATTACGAAAGAATCTTTTTCCCACACTACAAGAAGAAGCACTATATAATCAACGCACTTTGAGTCCACCAACACCGGTCCCGGTTTTGCCTCCTCGATAATGAATACCAGATTACCAGGCTTGAGATTAATATTGCCCATTGACGATTTTACCCCCATAGGACAGGATTTGTTTTCCGAAGGAGGAAGAGCCGGAGATTCTCTGTGGTGGAGCCTAGTAAAGGTGCTTGAAACATGTCCAATGATTTCAGCAACCGGGCAGGATGGGGTTACGTGGAAAGATATGATTGGTGACTTTTGGAGCGGAGCATGTCCGGCATGCCAAAACCGAATGGCGCGGCCCCATGTTTTGCAGTTTTACCCGACGACCAATGAAAAGACCATATTGCCCAATAACAACACCTTTGTTATGGTCTGCTCTTATCAGGACGCGGATGAATTGGATATTTTATTTTATTTGAAGGGAAGGCGACTCATCCGGCCATCCTTATCCTAAATCCTTCTTTATTTTAATGATCCGTTTGGTAGAATGTATTTTGGTGCGAAAAAAGGGAAGGGAAGAAAAATTTCCAATCATGCGCATATTTTTGTAGGCCCTGGAAAAAACGGAGAGAGAGAGAGAGAGAAGATCTGCAAGCAACGTTGAAAACCAGCTAACAAACAGGCAAATGTATGGAGACAGACGATTAAACAAGGAAGAAGAAGATGATCGAGTGGTAATTGTAAGGTGATCTGGGAAGATGAAGGGGACCATTTAGGAATTTCGTACCTTAAAAAATTAATTCCCATCAAGAGTGGGAGGAAGCAGGCTTCTCACGGATGAGGGAAAATGTTCAACAGCTGGAATTGGCTCCCTCTAGAAAATAGTGTGGCCGAATGTGTCTGTGAAGTTAAAAACACCCCTCCCTTTTCCCTCGTTTGATTTTTATCTTGCCAAACATCCCTTAAGTTTCTGCATCGATTTTCTTACCTTACCAACGCTGTCGGGGGAAATTCTCCCCTCAAGTTAAAAGTACCCAGTACATTGTTCGGTACTATTGCACCACCATGCCGTCCATATGTGAAATCACAATACCAAAAAATAAAGAATATTTAAATAAAATAAACTAGTTAATTTTTAATGAACATATTCATTACTCTTTTTTTCAGTATTCTTCCTTTTTTACCCTCTATGTTTGGATTTTGTTGAAAAGAGTTTGAATGACACGGCATGGAGTTTGTAACAATTTCACAGCTATTCAGATAAAATTTCAACACGAATAACAAGATGCGGCATTCATGTCAATTATCCTTGGATTATTCATAATAATTTTATTATTCCCTCTCGAGCTATTAATTTTACATAAACTAAGAGATTCAATTAAAATACTCCTCCGGTCCTTATTATAAGACCCAATTTGACTTTTTATTTGGTCCTAATTATAAGACCCAATCCATTTTCTCTCTTATATTTATGCATTTTTTTCCAAGATAATCTTCTAATAATGATAATTTTAGCCAATATACTTAATTAGCAAGGATATTTTAGGAATAACAACACTTATTTATTATAAATAACCAACTTAACTTACTTCCTTAATCTCCTCAAATAAGTCAATTGGGTCTTATAATTAGGACCGGAGGAGTAACAAGGACAAACTATGTGAATTTAAAACAAGTTGAATTACTTAACTAAGATTTCTTAATTCCTGATTTGGTTAACATCGTCTTATAACTGAGATCATGAAGTACTATGAAGTGCGTCCACCAAAGCGTCTCTGCCTTTGTTGAAAGGAAGCCAAAGCTTCCACGAACTGCTCCTTTCCAAAATCAGGCCATAAAGACGGATCAAAGAACAGTTCTGCGTAAGCCAGTTGCCACAACAAGAAGTTGCTCACTCTTAGTTCTCCACTCGTTCGAATCATCAGGTCTGGGTTTGGGAACTCTGTGCAATTCGTTTCAAGTTCTTGCTCTATCAAGCTCTCGTTTATGTCTTCTGGTTCCATAGTGCCATCTTTGACCTTCTCTGCTATGGCTTTACATGCCTGCACGACGTCGTATTTGCCACTGTAGCTAACTGCCACTATCAACTGGAATACAGAGCTTTCCTTTGTGTTTTCCTCGGCATATTTTATCATTCTCTGTAGAGAATCTGGGAGTTTTGCTGTGTCTCCTATTACAGAAATTCTAATTCCTTCGCTGCAGGATACCAAAATAAGAATAGCATATTTTTTTTAACCTTGATTATTTGGTTATTCATAATAAATTTACAAAGATAAAATAATTAAATAAAGATTAGTTATCGTTTTGTTTGTTTCACGTTAAAATTGTGTAATAATTAATTGATATAGAAAGGAATTAATGAAAAAGATTTTGGCTAGGTTGGCACAAGCTACCTCTTGAAAGCATCAATTTCTGTGGTTATTGTTCTTTCAAAGAGGCTCATCAAAAAATCAACCTCCACCTGCACCACAACCCAATCTCAACATCAGAAAGCCACTCCCTCCGAAACATAGTGTAGTACTTCATCCGCTTTAAAATATAAACTAAATTTTATTAGAAGAATTTAATTTTTTTATAAAATAAAAATTATTTTTGTCTAATCATTTAATGAATTTTTTTCAATATTATTCATATATTCTCTTTTTCTTTAATTTATTTATTATATTTTTTACTCATTCTTTTTATTAATAGACATATTTTTAAAAAAATACTGTTTTAAACTAATTTTAACTAAGTTCTCAGTAAATTTAAACAGATAAAATTTATATTATATTTTGAACCGGATGGAGTAAGAATTATGGGTTGTTCATTCAATCAATGTTAGAGTGCTAGAGAATTTGATAAAAATATTTAAAAACAAATTTATAATTAATTTCATCATACTCATTTAAAAAGTAATGTTGGGCTTAAAACTGATATTCTCAAAAATAATGAACACTTAAGAATAATTATATATCATTTTAAATAACATCAAATTAAGAAATTTATTGTAAAATAAAATTGAGAAATAAAAAATCGTAAAAGTCTTGACGATATTCATAACATCAGATTATCACCTAAAATATTTAGATAAAACAACCTGATAACATCGATCAATATTCATAAACAAAATTTAAGAAATTAAAACAACACCACTACACCAGACTAACCCAGTGCAAAACATCTCGTCTAATGTTAGGCTCAGACCTCTGGCAAAAAAAAGAAAAATCTTAGGCTCAACCCAACGTAATATCACATGTTGAGGGGCCTTGGTAACTTCTTGGGCTAATACAGGAAAGACAATCGCAAAGAAGAAAAGATTAACCAATAGGATTAGGGACCTGTTTGGGTTCTTCTCAAAACTATGATTTGGATAGGATATCATCTAAACAGTATATCAATTTTAGAGAAATAATCTGAAACCATGGGTTTGGACCAAAACCATGGTTTTGGGAAAAGTGAATCCATTATGCTTCTGGCTCAAATTGGAAAGTATGATTGTGCCTGTCAGAGTAGATCTCAACAATAATATGATTTTAACATCCATCAATTATTTTTTATAAACATTTTTAATCTTATATCTTATAAATATATATACACATGTTAATTGTGTTGGTAAAAAATATATTATTAACAATTTTATTCTTTCAAATTAAAATATATCATAAAATCTATCTTTTATATAATTATCATATTAACTTATACCTTTTTTAATAATTTGTACGTATAAAAAATGTTTCTGATAACAACTATCCAAACACTCTCACTTCTTAAAGTCACTTTTTAACAAAATCTATTCTCCAGAAACTATTCTCCAAAATATAGTTTGATTTTATCCAAACACCTCTTAGGTCTAACAAAAAAGACTACTCTCTCACAATTTCAAGCTAAGATTCAAATTTTTCTCGAAAAAGATTTTCACATTGATAGAGTGTTTGGATGGAATCAAAATTATGATTTTAAAAGTACTTTTACGATATACAAAGTAAACATGTGAAAGAGTTTATCTCAATTTGTAAAAAAGTTATTTTTAGGGGCACTTTTTGTGCTACCCAAACACTCTGAGTAGCCAATAATATCTCTAGCAGCCAAAAAAAATTAAAAAAAAAATGAGAGGAAGGAAAAATAACAAAAAACTATGTACTGAACTCACTTCACAAGTCAACTAGCAATTAACATTCTAAGTCTAACGACCTCCTTGGATTCTTGCACCAAATTACTGCACACGCTTTTTTTTTTTTTGTGGCCAAACTGCACACGCTTTTTTTTTTTTGTGGCCAAACTGCACACGCTTTTGGAAACCAGAAATTTGTTCTCTCTGCTATAGTTTTATTTTTGCTCGACCACTATAAATAATTTATTTCCCAACATTTGTTATTTATATTCATACTTATCCTTTTATTATTTTACATTTAAATTAAAATAATTATAACAAACATGACTAAACATTTTTAAAAACTGAATCATATTGTTTAAATTAAAAAATAATAACTTTGACACTTTGTTAATATTTATTTACTAGAATCTATTACCACGGGCTATTTTATATTGGAGAAAATTGCGTCCGGTTTCTTAAGCGTTTTCCAATACAATGTTATCTCGTGGAATTTCTTAACACCTCGTCCCTTTTTATGGGGCCAACGACATCTCATCCTTTAATAATACAGTAACTACCTTCACTTCCTCCGTCATAGCTATAAATTTTTTTCCTAACGAAATCACTAACGTGTGCCTATACATATATTATAAAATTGAACACAATATGTTCAACGCCCATAAAAATTAAACATAATATTAGTTATTTGTAATAAATATATATTATTTTTCTTAAAATATATTTGCTAATCAAATACTACCTCCGGTTCTAATTATAAGAACCGGTTGACTAATTTGAGGAGATTAAGGAAGTAAATTGAGTTAGTTATTTCTCCTAAATAGGTGTTGTCTTTCCTAAAATATCCTTACTAATCAAGCGTATTGATTAGAATTATCATTATTAGAATGACTACTTTGAAGAAAATGTCTAAATATAAGAGACAAAGTGGATTGAGGTCTTATATTTAAGACTAAAATAAAAATCAAACAGGGTCTTGTATTAAGGATTGGAGGTAGTATTATTTGATGAATATTTAATATGTATAATTATTATGATAACTATTTTTAAAAAAATAAATATAAAAAATAAAATAGATTGGGATTTTTTATTTAAAACTGAATTAAAAATAAAATTCGGAGATAGTATTATATTGACCGGTTTTGATTTTTGAAGAATACTAATTCCTCGTTCTCGTCGGTCCACAGTCGAATGGATCTTTTTTTCTTCTTCTTTTTTCCCATCGAATGTCGATGAAATGTTTGAAATATTATTTTCATTTAAAAATTCGGGAAAAAAAGGTCCTGCATAAAGAATCAAGAAGTACGGCACCATGAATAAATTCAGACACAGATAGTTGCCGACGAAGATGAATATGAACGAATGCGGAGACGGAACTAACCTTTGGACGAACCCAATTATCATAAGAAAAGGCGAAAACCGTCAGAACCTTAATCCCCCAACTACAACATAGTTCGATAATCCTCCTCAGCGACCGCACGCCGGCTTCGTGACCCGCCGACGGCATCAACCCTCGCATCTTAGCCCACCTCCCGTTTCCATCCATAATCACCGCCACGTGCTTCGGTATCAGGTCCGGTCGCAGTTCGGGCGGCAACGGCTCCGGCTCCCGCGAGAGTTTGGACACGACGGCTCCGTCACTTGACTCGCCCTGAACGTCGACGGCCGCTTTTTGCGAAGCGAGGGCGAGACTGCGACTTCGAAGATTGGTAACACTGGGAAGGGAAGGGTATCGGTGTGTTTGGGAACGAGGAGAAGAAGAAAGAGTGTGAGGTTTGAGAAGAGGAGTTAGAGTATTCTCAGCTGAAATTGGAAGCCTTTGC